ATGCACCTGAGAGAGAAAAATTAACTCGTTAGCCGCCTCTTGAAACAAGACATTCAGAACCATATTCTCTTCTTTGATATGACAAGATTTAATATAATGTATTAAACCAATTATGAATTATGGTAAAGAAATGCCTGCTCGGATATGGAACGATGGGTACTACTTGTCAATTGTCTATAATTTGGATTGGTAATACGGTATCTAGAGTAGGTAAGATTCCATTTCTAGGAAGCTAATGCGTATGTTCATTTATATATTTTGTGAAATGATACTATGCTCTTTTTTTTAATCAAATAAAAGGTTTCTTTTTACTCGTTTTTCACTTTAGAAAAGCTGGTAACATTTTTTAGGCTTACTAGGTTTCTGATATCCTATGTGCTATGAAAATAGGCATATTGTAAGTAAAACAGAATATCGAATTTGTTTTGAAGGTCACATTAGAAAACATATTAAGGTACAGAATCAAAACCTCACGTGGAATTTTCAGTAACAACCATCACTTTAAGCTTAAACGGTTCATAGCCTAATGCTTGCCATCATTCCAGTGAAAACTATGGACTTGGGGCATCCTGTGCAGAGGAAGGAATGCCAAAGGTTCTGTAAATGTTTATGCAAATTCATTTAAGTAGGGAAGGAAGAATAAGAAAGCAAACCTTCATTGTTGTGAGGAGGAAAAAGAGCGGGTCTCTGCATTTATATGAGACTCCCACTGGCAGCAACAGAGAGAATTCATTATCATACCCCTGGAGTTGGCATAGCTGACATGGACCATGTCAGATCCATCACACTTGCTGTTTGTAGGGCCATCAGCGCAGGGGGAGGACAGCACTGGTCTACACTTACTCCTCCGTTTTCTTCCATACGAAAATTGGACATAAATATCATAAAAAAACACCACATATTGTTCAGCACAACCACTGGTGTATGCATTACACACAGAGAGAGATGTACCTGTAGACTTGACTGCTTTTAGCTACTTAAGTGTAATTTAATGATAACAATCCCATTTTCCATCAAAATAGTATCACTTGTCGGTAGAGAAATACTTTCTGGCATTTCAATTGTAAATGTTGGTAGAGAAATACTTTCTGGCATTTCAATTGTAAAAAAGACTCGTATTTAAAGCTCACCACGCATACAGTGCCATTTTAGGGTAATGTAAAATGATGTGTTTAATGTCGACCAAGCTCTTCCTTATTTTCACAGGTCTCTTCAGAACAGAGGCATCTGCATGGAGGGTCAAAAACGTCAAGGTGGTGGGCAGGCCCACACCTGCCATCTTGACTTTTCTGACTTCTCCTGCAGCTGCCTCTGTTTTAGAACATTGTCTCTCTCACAGATCTCTCTCTGTCTATCCTTGGTTGTAAATTTTTATTTAATTTGCTTTGAGGACTACGTAGAAAGTAAGGGCAGAAAATTCAAATTTGCTATTAGCTTAAGCCTAGACCTTTAACTCTCTTTCAGAAGAGCCTAGCATCCAGATACTGTTAAGCAGATGTCCTATTGATATTTCCATAAGCTGTCAATTATTGCTTATCATATCAGCCTTAATTCTATTGATTTTGCTGGTGATTGTTACACCATCAAATTACAGTAAATCAAATCCATGGGCCACAATTGGATGTTAAGTGAAACTCTTTGGAACTTCACTACAAAGAGAATAAACTCTTCATACTGCACAGAGCAACAAACACATAGGAATTAATATAAGGCTGTAAAAAAAAAACAGTTTTTTGGTTAAAGATTGGAACGTTCTATTGTTCAGCCAACTGGTTACTTTACACTTGTGGTTCTTAAACTGGGGGGATTAAACTGGGGTTCTTAAACTTTGGGCATATCCAGGGGGTAATGGAATAATTTGTAGTTGCGGGTTTGTGTATTGAGGGTCCAGTTTGGAATTGCTGCTGCTGAGACAGTTGTATAAAACAACAGTCTGGTTTTTTTATGAGGGTAATGACATTATTTGAGGAGTAAGTGGGTCAAACAATTTTAGAATCACTGATACGGACCAAACCCCCAAACCAGGTTATACGCAGCAAAATTCAGTCTTCATCATAAATGCTACCCATAGTAACAGTATCCTAAACCTGAACTTTCTCTTCAGGTTGTGACTCAAAACAGCGGATTGCTGATTTGATTCTGATATTTTCTAACAACCATGATTATTCAGGAGAGAAATCAAACTAGCACTCCTTCAAGCCATAACATTATTCGTTCCCATTTAGGGCAAATGCTACCCTTTCTTCAAGCTTCATGCGGGTTATCTATAAGTGCTTATGCTGCTTATTTCGTTCTTTAGCTTCTTAAAAAAAAGAGCATAAATGAAAACTAAGTCAAATGTTAATATAGATGTATTTCTTATCTCCAAAGAAAAGCTTAGGCATCTGCGACCAGCCCGTAGAAATATACTTATGTCATATATTTGGAGCTTATGGTATTAAGAACTCAACATTTGAAGAGCGTTCAGATTTATTTCAGTGCATCTTGGCAACATTAAAACGTTCTTTACTATTATAATTGGGGGTGTCAGCAGGGGATCTGTTAAAGGAATTAGCTCTCAAAACGTGGCCGATGAAAAAATAATCAGTTCAGGAGGAGTAAAAAAAGTAATAATAATAAGTCAACATGGTGGCTTTGCGCATTCAATTGTATCCCCTCTCCTTCTTTAGGTGCATTGCACATGCAGTACAAATTAAAAAGGGGTAGAGCTTCTATTCCTTGGCCACATGCCATGTTGACTTTTTTGACCTCCCAGAACCAGTTGACAATTTTTTCAAGGGCCAAGGGTCAACAGCCAGTTCCTCTAATAGAAATGGCAAGTGTTTTCCAGCAAATGATTACTTTAGTTTCCCATGCAGCTCGACATTCCTATCCCCCCCCCCAAAAAACCCCACTCATGAATTAGAGGCAAATGGGAGAAGAATAGCAGAAGCTTCAGTTTGACATGAACTGCATAAGAATTGAGCAGTACATTCATTTTTAGGGAAGGAATTCAGTAGTGCAAAAAGTTCGTGGAAGAAACTGCTTCCATGCAAAACAATAAATTATTCCATTCCATTGAGTAAACTTTAACTTGACTAGCTTTTTCGGAAGTGTTATCCCTGAACATCATGGGTTAGTAAAAAAAAGTCTAACAACTTGAATTTTCTGAAACAGTTGGCAAAAATGGAGAATGTAATATCTAGACTCCCATCTACGTGCTCCTGATTATTTCTGTATCAGGAAATCCTGGTTTCTGTAATTCCGATCATTTATCATTTGCACAATTTTATCAAGAATTATGTTAAAACCAAGCATACTATCGGCAAATATTTGCAAATCTAAGCAGAAGAGTAGTTGGCATAGGCAATGGACTCTGAGCTGCCCAGAGTCACCCGGTGGGGGAGATGGGTGGCATGCAAATTTAATAATCAATAAATACAATAAATAAAATGTTATCCCATGTCTTCAAACTGAGAGTGGCTTTAGGGGGCATATGATTTCTCATTAGATTCAGACTAACACAACTCAACTCCACTTAATCCTCCCCCACGTATGATTCTACGGTGCACTATCAAAAGTGTATTGGAAAAAAAACAGGATTTAAAAAAGAGATTCTACAGGTATGTTCATATTTTCATGCTGCAGTATAGTGGGGGGACAACTACTACCCATTGCCGAGCACATCCATGTACTCCTGCGATCATCAGTCTGTGAGAAGCTTCTTAACATGACCCCTGGCTTCCAGCACGCAATCCCCCTTTCTCTCAGAACGGCAACAAGACACGTCTGGTTTGGCCAGCTTTTATTACTAATTGATGTCTGCCTTTGCTTTAATTTATGTGTGTTGGATTTGTCCTGGTTGTGTTTGACAATTTTACATATCGAGGGCTCAAATTGAGTAGAAAGGCGGGATGTAAATCCAATCAATTAAATCACCCCACCGCAAAGAAGGACCACAGAACGTGGACTGGCAATTAAAATGTTGCAACATTGTTCAAGAAGCCGCTGTTCTAACGATAATTAGGAGAGCTCCTTGATAATACAACTACAAAGCAGCAAGCTTTCAATATTGTTTTTGTCACTCTTGTTAGCCTGCATTCTAAATTCATTAATGATACTTTAATACCAGTACATCATGTGTTTGCAATTATTTTTGGGTTGCCTATCCACAATTCTTGCTATGAGTTTGACCCTGATTTTATAGAACATGCAACTGCAATGTTTGGTGTTGGGGGAGGAAGTGGGACAGTGGCGGGGGGAGCGGCTTGATATAAATCATTTCATTTTGGAAACTCATCCAAATTTTGCACTAGCTTGGCTGAAAACAGATCTGTTGAGAATCTGATGATCTGAAGTTAATGTATTGTGATGGAATGGAATTATGAAGGCCAGGCTCAGGG